GTTACCTGGCTGCGCTGTCCCTCTGTGGTACCTGCTGGGCCCCCAGCCCCTTCTCCCTCCCACAGCCTGTGCTGAGACCCAAGAGCCCAGGGCCTCCTTTGGGACTGGGGGAGTTTGGGCAGGGGTGGCAGGGGGTGGCCTCTGACCCCTCCTGGGTCCTCCCTGCCCCTCCTCCTAGTTCAACGTCCCCTTTGATGTTGGAATCAAGCTGTCAGGGGCTCAGTACCATCAACACGGCCAGGCCCTGGGGAAGGTCCTGCGGGACAGCCTTTGGGAAGAGGTCGATGGTAAGTCCTTGCTTGGCTCAGGTCAATGCAATTTCATCAGAATCCCAAAAGTAAGCCCACCCAGGAGGCAACACAATATATAGTTTTCTTCCCCGACTCCTGCCTCTCAAAAACAGCTTCTAATTCCTCTTTCCCAAATATCTGCGATGGGGTGGGCTGGCCCGCTATTTGTGAGCAGCTCAGAAGGGGGCTGAGTGCTGTCTTTGTATTCTGAGAACACACTATGTTCTGACAACAACCACATTAACTAGTTTGGGGGCCCCAATGAACCCCCATTTCCTTAGCCATAAAACGGAGTGAACACCCACTATGAGAGTATAAATTATTTGGTATCAACGCAGCTTTACTTCACAAACCAAAGGAATTACTGCTACAATTGCATTCAGAATAGGTTCCACAGCCAGTTAAGCAAAGGGTTTTGGTTTGGTTTTGAATCCCCTCTCACTCTATAAAAAGAAATCATCCAACTTTTTCCTCATCGAGGGGGTAAACTCCTGCCTTTGGAAGCACACTACATCTGCTTCCTTCACCAACACGGCATCGCCCTCCACCCCACCCACCTCGGGCAGGCGGGGGAGCCACACACCCAGGGTGCAGATAAGGAAACCAAGATTCAGCTTTTAGGTGACCTTCCCCCATCACATGGTCCACACTCCCCATCACAGCAGCCCATCGCATGCAGCACAGCTGTGGAAGGAGAGCCCCGTCAGATGGCGGGCATGGAATTCCGACTTGACCTCTTGCTTTTCAGAGGCCCCAGCAGCCAAGTGATCATCCACAGAACCTGCCCGTCTATCTGATGTCCTCCAACCCGAGAGGCACTCCCCTGGCTTTTAAATTACTTCTGTACCAACTCCCAGCTCTGCCTGGTACTAGCTTAAGAGGTGAATAAATGTTCAAACTGTAGGCTGAGTGTTCAAAATGGGAATTAATTTCACCAAAGAGGAAAATTTCACATTTCACTGGGAAAAAAAAATTTTGTTCTATGGTCAGTGGGAAAAGAAGAGAAGCATATGTGGTCAGATAGATATTCATTCTTAGAAAACCAAATCAGACCAACTCACACACGCAGGTAGGACTACCGGGGGAAGGACGAGAGAGAAAGGAAAGAAATGCACAGTTCCTTTAAGTATCAGGGCTTCCTAAGCACACCAAGCTGCACTGAGAGCTTAGCAACAATAAGCAAAGACTGTTGGTCAGAGAGACTTCAGCTGACATTATCAGAGCCACCAGCCCCTGATAACAGGATGCTGGGAGTTCCAAAGCAAGTAGCTGAAATCCTACGTAAGTGGGGTGCCCACAATGGCTCTCAGCCACTGCTGGCAGGGCCGGAACGACTGCCCTCCTTCCTCTCACCCACTACTGAAGGGCTGGGCAAAGCAGGTTCTGCCTCGGGTGAGCAAGGCTGCCTGCTGATACGGGAGGTGCTCTAAAACGTTTCCAACTCCAGCTCCCAGCTAACTGAGCCTTGCTCCTTAAGTTCCACAACTTAATTCCAGTCTTCCTGGAAGGAATGCCACTTATTAGCCATTTACACTTCAGCATAAACACTGATTTCTGAGAATAGGTGATGATGGATGGGTGGATCACTAAGGGGAGAAAAAGGCGAAGAACAAGGAGGCTCCAAAGATAAGCACTGGCCACCTACTGATCCAGATGCACGAGCATCTGTTAGGGGTGTGCAGGACAGCCCTCTGCAGGGAACATCGGGGTGACATCCACACTGTGGAAAAGCCTCTCTCACAGAGGGCTCTAGGAGCCAAGTATCTTGAGTAAATGGTTCTGGTCACCTGGCACTCAAGGCGTGGCCCACCAGCATAACCACTGGTCATACTCAGCAGGCACACCGACACCCAGTGCCTCCCTTGCCAGGGTCCTGCACGTGGTCACATCGTCTGGGAACCTCTTACAAATGCAGAATGTCAGGCCCCACCAGCCCTTATATGTCAGGATCTGCATTTTAACAAGATCCTCAGGCTTTTAAATGGCTTATCTGAAGTGGCTTAGAGGCAACCAGATCCAGTGCAGGCCGCGCAGCACACTGCACAGCCAGATCGCCCACCTGGAAGAGGTCACATGTCCAATCTCATGTAACTAATGCCAACTGAGACCTGGTCAGGTGGCACCCTCCACAAGACTGAGAAAACATGAAAAGGGGCCCTGTTTCCTCTCTCACACACCTTCCTCCGTCTCTCTAGTCCTGGCCCTGTTGACGACAGGCCCATCCTTGACTGGACAGCACACACATGCTCTTCCATCTCTCAGGGGACCACAGACATCTGACTGTGTGTCTACACAGTGAGTTCACTGAGTCCTTGCTTTGGAAAACGTATGTCTCTAAACCTCAGTTATAATCACAGATTGAAAGGTGTTACTCACTAATAAAGGAATTTAAGGTATTGGAGAGCAGGTGAACTATAGGGGGGGAAGGGGAAAGGGGGAGAAAGGAAGTAAAAGTGGACAGAAGTGACCATCCTCAGCCTCTGGCCAGCTGGCCCCCATCACCGAGGGGGAGGCCGACATGCTGTCCCAGACCACAGGCACACCCCCACTCCATCACTTAGGAGAGCTGCAACCCAGACCATCACTAACCATGCCCACAGCCCTCTTCCCGTGAGGATCAAGGCCCTCATGTGGTCAAAGTGGTCCAGGAAACCGCTCCTGACCCGGTGGAACAGCAGCCAGGGACTGGGCTCTCAAGGGTGGGTGCCAGGCCCTAGGAGGAATGCCAGTGGCCACCTGACACTTCCCCACCGACCCACAGATAAGAACTCACTCCCTTTCCCAAAGGACTCACAACCCTGCTTGCCCACTTGCGTAGGTCATTCATTCAAGCCGAGGTTGAGCCCCCACTGTGGACTGGACACTCACACCTGGGCTGGGCAGCAGGGGTTGGTGCAAAGCTGTGGGTTTTAGGCTCAGACCCACACCTGCTGGATTCACACCAACATATTCAATCTCTCAGGCTCTTCACAAGTGAAACACCTACCTCTCGGGGTTACAGTCCAGCCTGAACACAGCGTCTCCCATGAGGACACCTGGCACGTAGCCGGTATTCCGTTACTCCAACAGCCCCCGTTTACTACATGCCTCCTGTGCAACAGGTCCTGTTCTAAATGCTCACATGTAATTAGTATGACTTCAGTTAATTTTTCACAAGCCTTAAGAGGAAGAAAACTGAAGCTCAGAGAAACTAAATCACTTTCCGTAACAACCTACCAAACAAGGTCACATAGCAAATATGCTGCCAACTCATATCCAGAGCTGTGGTGCACAGACCCAGGCCTTTTCATATTCTACTGCCTCTCCTCCAGTATTACTGTCCTATTGCCTAGGATCCTTTTATCTTTCCTTTTCTTTCATAATACATTTGGTCAACTTGGAGTCAGGTGAAGACATTTTCAAGTCCACAACTGGCAGAAATAAAATTTACCAAAGTAAACTGAGACCACGTAGCATTTCACACACAGTCACTGTGTCAGCTTTCTGAGACCTACTCCTCCATGCATCACTTAGTACCATTAACTTAAGATTCCCTGAAGTGGGTGTATTTATACCTGGGGTGGGCAATATACTTGGTGGGGGAAAAAATCCTTATAAAAACAATTTGTGTTTTATAACATGAGTAGTACATTAGTATAGTTGCACATGTATTTACATGTGCGCTCAGAAATTCTCTACGACTGTACAAACAGAAGAATGGAGACCCACACCTGGCTGCCTCATTCTGAATAATAGCAAACATCACTGACATGCCAGCGTCAGCAGTGGTCAGGCAGGTGGCCACCACTGACCAACAGCTCTGCTGCCATCTGCGAGGAAGTTTGTTCCCTCCTCTGTGTTTCAGTGGCCATTTGCCCTTCTTTTACAAATTAAAGTGCTGGCAGTAAATGATTAGCGCTAGTCCCAAACAATACAGAGAGAAAGGTGGAAACACCAAGTGCCCAGAACAGCAGATTTCCAGCCTAAAACAGACTCTCTGAGTGGACAAGTCAACTGTTCAACTGGGGAGGAGCTAAGGAGGTGAAGGAATATGCTGAAAATAGTGATGCATCCCAAACATGAGGCATCAACAGATTTCCAATTTGTTCAGCATTCCTGGAACAGGACCCTGCTCCTTACAGGTTTACTTCTGGCTGTGCACTTGGCTTCAAGAATACTTTAGCACAAAATGACAGGACTAACTGCAAGCAGTCAAAGACTTTCCTCCAAAGTTTCCCCAGGGGCATCAGAGCTCACAGGCCAAAGCCCACGAATAACTGATTCACCCACAGCACCCCCGTGGGCTTGATTTTCCCTCCTCCTACTGCACTGCTCTGTGAAGACAGAGAAAGAAAAGAAGGTATCTATGTACGTTTCAAAGGCCAGGGAGCAGTAAACATATGTGTCCCCAGGCAGTAAGATGACAGCTGATACTCAGAGGCAGAGCTGCTGAGAAGGTGACATGTGCCCTTATTACCAGCTTAATTTCACATTCAATCTCTCAGGCTCTTCACAAGTGAAACACCTACCTCCCGGGGTTACAGTCCAGCCTGAACACAGCGTCTCCCATGAGGACACCTGGCACGTAGCCAGTATTTCGTTACTCCAACTGTTCTCATGTACACATGAGAACGCCTCCAGAACTTTGGATCCTCAGGTTACAAACCTGGCCAATCACCAAACCACTGTTGTCCCTCAGAGAAATCTACACAGACATGGAGAGCATAGGGGTTGGCTGAAGAGCTATCACTTTATTTCCAGAAAGAGATGGTCATGGTGGGGGGGATAGGGATGGGCTACAGAGGGATAGGGATGGGCAGCACGGAACAGTCGAGTTAGCCACTCAAAAACAGAATCCAAGGCATGGCCCTCCAGCTTTCACGCCCATACAGCTAATGCTTCACTGCAAACAGCACAGAAATGATAATCCTATCCTATAGATAAAAGAATACAGCACCTTGTGCTTTACCTGGGTAGGGGGACTGCAGAGGCTGGGAGACATCCACCAGTCCACTTCTAATCCTCTAGCGCAGAACCGGCTGGCTTCCCGTGTGGGCAGTTACTGACTTAAGGGCTTGAGGAGACAAGACAGGCTGCAGTCCACTGGGGGGCAATAAAGCACTCTGAAATACTCAGTCTTCCAATGATCCAAGTAGAACAAGGCCCTGGATTCCCCATATAGGCAATTTGAGGCACAGACACAGCTGATCCATGGAAGGTCAACAGTGAAAAGAGGCCTACTTCTCAAGCCAGTGAACTGTACCAGGGCAAGATGGAAATAACAGATAGCAAGCGGTAAGTCCCTTCTCTTTTAGCTTACAAGACTCAAACGCACCTTCTCAAAACACTAAAGGAATCCAGCATTAGGTGAAGAACTTTACAACATAAGCTCCTCTCCTCCAAGAAGCAGGCAGGGGACTCGGCATGGCCTGTTTCACTGAGGGGGACTGGGGTGACGGACCCTCTGGACAAAGTGTAGTCACCTCACACTTAACCCTTAGCTGTTGTAAGTGTAGTGTCCTCATACTTAACCCTTAGCCATTGTAACCTTCCAGGGCCTGTAGCAAATATACCTTTACAAGGCACCGGCAGGGCACAGAGCAGAGCTCATAACTGGATGACCTGGCTGCTCAAATGTCAAAGGAGAGGCTTTCAATTCCAACACTGAGAAGGACAGAGGCAGAGGCCCAAGAGATTTACAGACACCAGGCCAGCTTCTGCACAGGCAATAGAACATGGCTGGGCTGCCCACCAGAGCTTTGTATATTTAAATTGGTTTACCTCCCAACCTGGATGGGACACACAAGGGCTGTTATATGGGATGAAACAGGAGTTTTTTGGTCCAGTATTCCAGAAGGGGGCAAAAACGGAGCAAAGGGCGGCAGGGACCTGACAGCAGACTAGCAGGTAGCTTCTGCTGCAAACCAACCCCTATGAACATCGGTGAGCAGGAACGCCCTCTTTGGGGTCCTCTTCCTCAAGAAGGCCTCTTCCTTGTGTCTTCCAGTCTGTTCAGATCTCTACCAGCCAGGACATCCTCTGGACAATGAGCGCCCTAGTGCCCCCTCCAGACTGATGGCAGTGGAGCCAGTGAGACGGGCACCTGAGGTCCCTCCTGTGCAGATGGAGAGGTGACACAGCAACAGAGAGGACCAAGTTGCAGAGCAATCCAGGGGAGGAAGCGGGCTGACTGCACTGGGTGCAGAAAAATCAACCTTTGAGCCAGGTCTCCATTGCAGGTCCCCAGGGGAGCTCTCCCACTTATGAGCTCCTTTTTAGAACTGAGAACCAGAAACCAAGTTACACTCCCACATGTGCCTGGATGAGTTGGAGGGTAACTGTTCACAGACTGCTCAGAAACAAGCTGCAGAGAATGGGGATCTGGGTCTGCAAACTTGGTGCACCAGTACAGGCCTCTCTTCATCACCGACTGCCCCGGAGCATCACGGCCATGAGGTAAACCCCAGCCCTTCATCCCACTCCTCTGACCCCAGCCGGATCCTGCCCACCAGCCAGCAGCAGAAGCCTTATGACAAGGTTTCAAGAAAAATATCCTGTTTGCGTTTTCTCCATTCCTATGGGCTCTCAGAAAACAGCGCTGACCTGGGACGTACAGGCGGAGTTCAAACCCAGCCTGTCTTCTGTCAGGCCACTGGTTTTCCTGGAGGGTTGGGAAGAGAAAAGGAAGAAGGTTCCAAATGAAGTCTCCTCATGGCAGATCAGCTTTAATGCATGCCTATGTTTACAACATTCTCTACATGAAGAAAATGCAGCAAAAATATTTTTGTCCTGATTTTCAAAAACATAATGTGATTTTTACGACCTTTTCTGCGGAACTCCTGACTGCACTCTCTCAGCTTAAAGGTTGTAGAGGCGATTGGTGTTCTCACGCAAGATGGCCAAGGTGCGTGAGAGCGGCAGATCTTTGACCCTGGCAATCTCTCGAACTGTATGCAAGGCCAGACCTGGGTGGGCATACTGGCAGAGGCTTTTGGGAACCTGAAAGACATTAAGCATTCAGAACATCGCTGTGCTTTCTGCACGCGGCCAGTACACAGAACTCCCTCCCCAGCCCGTCCCCAGCAAGGACCTCTTTGGGGCTGCCCTATAGAGACCCCTTTACCTGCAGGTGCAGGGAGAGTCCTAGTCATGGGGGGCTCTGGGTGAGCAGGGTCCCACGCTTCCTTGGACTACCCTCTACAGGGTAGGGCTTTGCACTGCCTGGAAGAGAGTGGTTACCCTTCAGCTTCTCAGCCCCCTCACTTTTGGTTCTGCAGAGCAACAACAAGGAGAAAGCTACACAGCCAAGAATGGGACCTAGTAGTCGGGGAGCTCTGGCCCTGTCAACCTTGTATGGTTAACCACCCACCTCCCCACCCTCTCTCCTCAGTGCTTCAACTCAGCCTGAATGAGGACACCCTACCTGCCGAGGCAGGAAGTAGGGAGCATCGGTTTCCACAATGATTCTCTCCAGTGGGATCTGTTTCAGAGCTTCCCGAGCCTCCCAGGCCGAGGAGTAGGTCAGGACTGCCGTGAAGCCCACACACATGTTGGGGAAGTGCTTCAGTAAGGGCTCGATGACCGGGTAGCTGCCAGTGAAGCAGTGCCTGGGAGGAGGAGACTTTCAGATCAGCGCTTGCTCACAATCCCCTCTGCAGGAGCCCCCAAGTCCCTTTAGACATGCTACCCCTTCAATTACTTCCTGTTGATAATTCTCAGAAATGAAAGGACTGCATCCTGGGGAAGGACTCCAAGAGTAAACACAAGCACTGGCTCAACACAGGTAAGAGACCTCTTGGTGAGTAATGTTCACCAATAAACCCGTTACACTGCAGAATGCTACAGAGCCAGTGAAATGGTCACCACAAAGAATATATATGGCAACAACACAGCAATAGGTTGTGCTTACAACATGAAGAGAGAAGCAGAATTAAAAACTCTGGCTCCTCCTGACTGCATCTCCTCAGGCAAGGGAAACAAAAGCAAAAATGAAATGGGACCAAATCATGCTAAAAAGCTTCTGTACAGCAAAGGACACCATCAGTAGAATAAAAAGGCATCCTACAGTATGGTAGAATATATTTGTAAATGACGTATCTGACAAGGGGTTAACATCCAGAATATATAAAGAACTCACACGCCTCAACACCCAAAAAGCAAATAACCCAATTTAAAAATGGGAGAATATGAAGAGCCACTTCTCCAAAGAAGAAATTCAGATGGCCAACAGACACATGAAAAGATGCTCCACATGGCTAATCATCAGGGAAATGCAAATTAGAACCACAATGAGATATCACCTCACACCAGGAAGGATGGCCAACATTGAGAAGACTAGGAACAACAAATGCTGGTGAGGATGCAGAAAAAGAGTAACCCTCGTACACTGCTGGTGGGAATGTAAAATAGTTCACTGTTGTGGAAAGCAGTATGCAGGTTCGTCAAAAGAACTAAAAATAGAAATACCATTTGACCCAGGAATTCCACTCCTAGAAATTTACCCTAAGAATGCAGGAGCCTAGTTTCAAAAAGACAGATGCACCCCTATGTTTACTGCAGCACTATTTATAATAGCCAAGAAATGGAAGCAACCTAAGTGTCCATCAGTAGATGAATGAATAAAGAAGGTGTGGTACATATACACAATGGAACATTACTCAACTGTAAGAAAACAAATCCTACCATTTGCAACAACATGGATGGAACTAGAGGGTATTATGCTCAGTGAAATAAACCAGGCAGAGAAAGACAAGTACCAAATGATTTCACTCATATGTGGAGTATAAGAACAAAGAAAAAAATTGAAGGAACAAAACAGCAGCAGAAACACAGAACCCAAGAATGGACTAACAGTTACCAAAGGGAAAGGGACTGGAGAGGATGGGTGGGAAGGTAGGGATAAGGGGGGAAAAAAAGGGGGCATTGCTATTAGCAGACATGATGGGGGGGGCATGGGGAGGGCTGTACAACACAGAGAAGACAAGTAGTGATTCTATAGCATCTTACTACACTGATGGACAGTGACTGTAATGGGGTATGTCGGGGGGGGGAGGGCTTAATGATGGGGGGAGTCTAGTAAACAATGTTCATGTAATTGCAGATTAATGATACCAAAAAAAAAATAAAAAACCACAGCAGCAGCCTCACAGAATCCAAGAATGGACTAACAGTTGCCAAAGGGAAAGGGACTGGGGGAGGGTGGGTGGGAAGGGAGGGAGAAGGGGAATAAGGGGCATTACGATTAGCACACATAATGTGGGGTGGAGGGGGCACGGGAAAACAGTATAGCACAGAGAAGACAAGTAGTGACTATAGCATTTACTACACTGATGGACAGTGACTGTAATGAGGTATATGGTAGGGACTTGATAATGGGGGGAATCTAGTAACCACAATGTTGCTCATGTGATTGTATATTAATGATAACAAAATTTAAAAAAAAAATTTTTTTAACTGTGGCTCCTCTAAGGTTATTTACTGAAGGTAAGAATTATTTCCATGCAGTCAAATGAACTATAAGGAAACAAAATATTAAAATATTGGGGAGTGGGATTACAGGTGAACTTTCTTCTTAATGCAACATGTATCATTAACCAACCTGAAAATTCAGGGCTTCCTCCAGGCCCATAGCTCATTCGGCCATCTTAGCCCTGGTCTACCTGCCACCCATTAGATTTCCTTTACTGTCAGTCCACAAATGAAGCGATGAAAAACCAACCAGCCAACACAGAAGGCCCAAGGGGCTGTGCCTGGTCTCTGGTGTGCACAGCTCTGTCAGAGGTGCCACACTCTCTCTGCCTGGCACCAAAACGGCAGGTCCCAGAGGCCTGACAGCCTCCCCTGCTTCTGCCACTCATCAAGACCTGCTCTGGGTTCCACACCCTGTTTTTTTCAGTTAACCCATCTCACCCATCTTGTAAGAGCCTGCCCAGGCATCGCCTCCTGACCCATCCAGTCAGGCCTCCCTAATGGGCCCTGCTCTGGCTGCCGCAGCACCTATGCCTACCTCAGCCCCACGCTCTCTGAGGAAGTCACCACTCTGTCTCCTTCAGCTCCTGCAGGGAGGAGGGTGACCCAGGCTGAGCTGATGCCCAGGATGGGCATATGGTAGGAGATCAGAGAGTGAACTTAAGAACCCCTAGATACCATTCACATAAAACACATCTTAGACTTTGTCGGGAGAGGGGGTGATAGTGAGCTTTCAAATTTAGAAAAAGAGAAGAAAATTCCTTTTTAGGATTATTCTGTGTGCTAAGTCACTGAACCCCTAGCTGCCTCTCCGTCACTTCTGAGAGCCAAGACTCCACATTAGCCACATGGGACAGGGGTCACAAAAGCCCGCTTCTTGTTCATTGGTGAGTTAGGGTATTAGCTCAAACCATATGAAGTTACCATGTTGTAAGCACAAAATAGTAAAATATCTGAAATTTCATGTGGTTCAATCAATACTTAATCCTTAGAAAAGATACTACATAAAGATCTAGTGTCATCAATGCTATCCTGAGTAGTGAGTTTTCATTTTTCCACCTAATATCCTAAACAGAAGGAAGTGTTCATTCCATTTGGCCACTGAGGCACCAGCCTTCTAACCTATGGATCTTGTAGTCTGAGGGCACAAATTTTTTCATGATGCTCAACAGATCTTCATCAGCTTCTCGGCAGTGGATCACCAAGGGCTTCTTCAGAGCCACAGCCAGCTGTAGCTGCCTCTCAAACACCTGTGGAAAGACAAGTGACAAAACCTGTGGGTTAAAGCCCTTCAAAAGCCTGCTGATGTCTGGAAATATGGGAGCATAGAGAGAGCTTGAACCCACCTCCTCCCACCTTCATGCTGAATTTACACCTACACACAGAGAGATTCACCCTGAAGCAAAACAAAGGCCTGAGTGAGCACGTACACAAAGAGGGATAGAAGACCACAAAAAAAGCAGCAGGAGACGCGAAGCCATGGTAACAAAAGGAACCCCACCCCAGCGCGAGGACTCTGTGGGCAGGAGGATCACTGAGGGAGTTGGATGCAGAGTCCCTGCCCTGGGGCAAAGGGAAACATGCGCACTTTAAAGCACACCTAGACTGTAAGCAGAAAAGCTCAATTCTCAGAACTAAAGCACCCGCCATTGGCAGGGGAATGGCTGGAACTCTCTCCAGCACAGAGGTGTGGTGGGCGCCACTGTTTGCACTCCTGGGGGAACAGGGCTGGGCACACACACAATTTCAGGTTTGGCCTAGGTGGCTTCCCAGCCCCTTCCTTGCCCAAAGAGTACACTCGGGCTGCAGCTACCCTGAGGAGCGCGCCCTGGCCACTACACCACAGCAGGAGCCACCTCAGTAGCTGGGAAGACGGGCTTCCTGGAGCCACTGCTGCACCACAGGCTGGGAGCCAGGAGCCATGGAGGCCAGGACCCCTGAATTCCACACCTGGGCCTGGGGCTGCCCTGCAGTAACAGACCAGGTCATTGAGGACCCAAGAGCTGTGAGCTGCTGCACACCAGGTATGGAAGGCTGTAGTTACCAAGGCAGGGCTTTCCTCGGCCATGCCTGTCCCTGCAGCTGCATGCAGACACACAGCCAGGTGCTACCAAGCCCTGGAGAGCACATGTGAGCTGCTGTTGTGCCACAGGTCGGGGAGCCAGTAGCTGTGGAGGAGGGCCTTTCCTGGAGATCACACTGGGCCTGCTGCCTCCTTGCCAGCATATATCCCATCAGTATCCATTCAGAAATCCCTCTAATTGTGTCCCCACCAACCCCGACCATGCCCTGAGAGCCCTGACATCAGGACACACCCATCTCACACTCACTAGGTCTGCCGCCAGCCAGCCAAAATCACCAGGTACATGCAAGCCTGTCCAGAACTTCCCCATACAAGTCCAGTCCTTCATGACTGGAGCCTTTCTACTGATGCATAAAATCAAGCACAGAAAGTCAAACATAATGAGGAGACAAAGGAAAATGCTTGCAACTGAAGTATATTATAACACTTCAGAAAAAGAATTAGGTGAAACAGAGTTAAGCAATCCACCAGATAAAGTGTTCAAATTAATGACACCAGACATGACAGAAGAACAGAAGAACTCAGTGAGAATGTCTACGAAGATACAAAACAGGATCAATCACAGATGAAGCATACAATAAGTAGAATAAAAAGTCCACTACAGGCAGTCAAGAGTGAACTAGAGGACATAGAAGAACTGATCAGTGATTTGGAAGACAGAGTGATGGAAAGCACTTGAGCTGAACAGCAGAAAGCAAAAAGAATGAAAAGAAAAGAGGATAAGTTAAGGGAGGTCTGAGACATTAAAGATCCAAACATTCGCATTATAGGAGTCCCAGAAGAAGAGAGAGAAAGGGGAAAGAAAACTTATTTGATGAAATAACAGCTGAACACTTCTATAACCTAGGGGAAGAAACAGACATCCAGGTCCAGGAAGCGGAGAAAGTCCCAAGTAAGATGAACTGAAGAAGTGCCACACCAAAACACATCCTAATTATAATGTCAAAGATCAAACACAAAGAGAGAATCTTAGAAGCAGCAAGAGAAAGGAAACCAGTCACCTAAAGGGAAAGGTAATATGGCTGTCAGATTATTTTTTTCAGCAGAAACTCTACAGGCCAGAAGGGAATGGCATGATATATTCAAAGTGTTGAAAAAGAAAGACTGACAACCAAAAATACCCAGTAAGGTCATCACTCAGGATGGAAGGCAAAACAAAAGGCTTCACAGGTACATAAGTTAAAAGAGTTCACTAACATTAAAATGGCCTTACAAGAAATGTTAAAGGGTATTCTTTAAGAGGAAAAGACAAGACTATAACTAGAAGCAAGAGAAATGTCAAAGTGAAAACTTCACTAGTGAAAGCACACATACACCTAGTAGATCAATCAGTTAAAAGCTAGTCGGAAGGTCAAAAAGACAAAAGTGTTGTGATCAATTACATCTAAAATTAGTTAAGGGAGTCACTACATACAAAGGTGCTAGAGAAAGCATCATATACATAAAATGTGGAGGAGGGGTTAATAAAAATGTAGTGTTGTTAGAATGCACTTAAACAAGTGACCATCAACTTAATCATAAGTGGCTGTATATGCAGATGTGATATAAGAACTCCATGGTAACCATAAGCCAAAAACCTATAATGCTTACACAAAATACAAAGAGAAGATCCAAGCATGACATTAAAGAAAGTCATACTGCAGATCAAGTGGGGGGTGGGGCAGAGAAAAAGATGGTGGAGTAGGAAGGCAAGGCGGACACCTCTTCCCCAGAACACAGAAAACATGAAAATACAACTAAACCTGAAAATGACCTGAAGACTACAGAAGAGACTACAGAACGGATGCATACATCTGGGGAAGAAGAGAAGATATCACAGAAAAGGGTAAAGTGGCAAAGCCAGATTCAGCGGTACCCGAGCCCTCCCCCCACCCCAGCCCACAGGTGGGAATAGGAGCCCAGGATTGCTGAACACCTAGCCCTGGAGATCTGCTACAGGAGCACAAGCCCATATTACATGGTGTTCTGGTGATTAGTAGAGCTGGACAACAAAGACACATGAAACACCTGGGGAGGCTAAGATTCCAGCCACTTGTGGAGAACAGACACACTCCACCTCTCCCCAAGACAAAAGCAAAACAGGCAGTTTGAAAGACTGCCCAGCAGCAGGAAGAGTGCCAGAGGGGTGAGTATTGGACAACGCTCTCTTCTCAGGAGAAAGAGCAGGTGGACAATACCTTGCCAGCCTGCCCTCAGCCGAACAGGGCAGGAACTCTCAGGAGCCCGATGCTCCATCCCTCTCACTGGCAACACATCTCGGAGGCTCATCCCTGCATGCACAACCAGCAGACAACCTACTTGGGTCCAGCAGTAGTGTCAGACTTTGCTGCAGGGTAGGCACAGGGAGAACCTCCCAGCTTTCTCGGCTCCACTGCAACCCAAAAGGGAAGGTGCCTGCGAGATCCAGCCCGAAGGGCTCCTCCCTCCCAATAGATGCCAGTTTCTACATGACAGGCCTGGGCAGAGCTTTAACCTACATAACCCTATAGCTCCTGCCATTGCTGCAGGCCAAGCAGAGGTCAGCCCTGCCCCCCAGAAACTCCAGGAGACTTCTGCGCTGATCACAAAGGCACCACCTAAGCATATTACATGCCTAGAATCAGACCACTACAAGCCAGAAGGAAAGGTGGCTCCACCCACTGCATGCAAACAGCTGGGGCTCCCATACTGGAAAGTAGAATCTTGAGATGCTGGGCACCACAGGACACCTCCTTCATAAAGCTATTACTCCACAGAAAATGAAAACACAGAAAGCCCGATAAAATGAGGAAGCAGAGGAGTATGTTCCAAACAAAACTACAAGACAAAACAGCCCAGAAAGAGGGCTGAATGAAACCAAAAATCACCAATCTCCTTGATAAAGATTTCAAAGGAAAAGTCATAAACATGCTCATGACTCTACAGAAAAATATTCAAGATCTCAGGGAGGACTTCAACAAAAAGATAGAAGACCTGAAAAAGAGCCACTCAGAGCTGAACAACACAGTATCTGAAATGAAACAGAATGGGGAGATTTAATAGATTATTACAGGTTTAAGAAGCTGTAAATGAAATGCAACTTAGGGAACAGAAAACAATAAAGTCAAAAAACAGAAAAAAAGGATCTCTAGGAATAAAAGAATAAGAGAGGTGTGTAACCAATCTAAAAGAAACAATATTTGCATAATAGAGGTACCAGAAGGAGAAGGAGATGAAGGGATAGAAAGTCTCTTTAAGGAAATAATTACTGAAAACTTCCCCAAACTGGGGAAGGAAATAGAAACACAGGTCAGGAAGCACAGAGAACCCCTAACAAAAGGAACCCCAACAAGACAACACCAAGATATACAATTAAAATGACATGAAGATGCATTACTTGATAAAAATTTAAAACCAGCCAAACCTTGGAAAAAAATGCTTAGATCACTAGGACCTCTCATTTACTGTCACTGGGAATGTAAATTATTGCAATTACTTTGGAAAACTGGCAGTATCCATGGAGGCTGACCAAACAGGCCATACTGTATGATGTAGCGATTCAGTTCTAACAGAGATTTGTACAGCCATGTGCCAAAGATGTACAGGCATGACCACAGCAGCAGTATTCATGACGGTTGGGGAAAGGAAAGAACAAAGTATGCATCTACAAGACAGTGGAGCTTGCACAGTAACACAAGGGAGTGTGCTGTAGTACTGCAAATGAACTACCACTACATGTAACAACATGGATGAAACTCAAACACTGTACTGAGCAAAAGAGGTCAAGCACCCAAGAGCACATGCTACATGATCCCATTTATTTAAATTTCTAATTGAGTCAAACTTAACCTGTGATGATAGAAGGTAGAATATTGATTGCCTTCAGAGAAGAGGTGGGGGAGGGATTGAAGGGGGCTTTGGGGTGCTGGGCAGAGTTCAAGTTCTTGATCTGGTTGTTGGTGACATGAGGATAGTCACTTTGTGAAACTCTGACAAGCTATAGTCTACTGATTGTTCTGGAAAATTAGGAAATTATCAATTCACTTATGAAAATACATTCAGATAATCTCAAAAGAAAGTTAAAATGGCAAAGATCAAGGATAAGGAGAGATTACTGAAAGCACCCAGAGAGAAAAAAATTACTTATAAAAGAAATCCCATCAGGCTATCAACAGACTTCTCAGCAGAAACTTTACAGGACAGAAGGAA